ATCACAAAAAAAGATATTTTTTTAAAAAATGGTTTAAGTAAGATTTTGAAGCTTTCGCTTCAAAATTTACCAAACCAAAGTCCAACCCAGATCATGAAATCAAAGACAACTGATTGAATTTTCTACGTTTAAGAGATTTGAAAATAACCTAAGAAACTCCTCTTTACTGAATTTTTCACGCATTTAAATATCCTGAACTGGCTGTTTAAGAGACCGAAAAACAACCTAAAAAAAGAAAAAGAAGGACTGTTATTACCAACTTGTTAAAATAGAAAATTAAAACAAAAAAAAAATAACTTACTAAAATCTATATTAAAGAACTGTCCGCCACCAAGAACCTAAAGAAGGTAAATTGAAGTTAAAAATAAGTATTAAAAAAAAATTTTAGAAGTTACAAAGTAAAACTTACCGTTTACATCAAGCCAAAAGTTCTACATAAAAAAATAAATAAATAAAGAGAAATGTTAGAAACGTTCCTAAAAAAAAAAAAATTTTTTTTAAAAAAGTTTTAAAGCAAACACTTTAAAACTTACCATTTTGTTTGTTTTCCAAAGCTGAATATTGAAACCCAAGCTATCTACAAAAAAGAATCTGTCCAGGTGGTGTCCAGAGAACCAAAACCTACTTTACAGAAACTTACCATTTTTAATCAATATAGAATCGATATCATTAAGTTTATCTTAACGGTATTATTTCAATGTTATTTTGATATCATTTCAATATCGATTTAATATCGATATGATATCAAAATAAAGTATTATCACTTCGATATCATTCTGATATTAAATCGATATTGAAATGATATCGAAATGACATCTTTAAATTAAACTTAAAGATGTTGTTTCGATATCATTTCTATTATCATTTTAATATCATTTCAATATCGATTTAATATCAAAATGATATCAAAGTGATAATACTTTATTTTGATATCATTTCAATATCGATTTAATATCAAAATGATATCAAAGTGATAATACTTTATTTTGATATCGTATCGATATCGTATCGATATTAAATCGATATTGAAATGATATTAAAATGATATTGAAATGATATCACTTGAAAACTTAAAGTTTCCGTAAAGTAAAAAAAAAGAAAATTGAAATATTTGCTAAATTAAAACAAAAATGAAAAAAATTTAAAGTTTACCTTCAAAATGAAAGATCAGAATATACATGTTCGACTTTCTTAACCTAAAAAAAAAAATCAAAACATTACTAGTAATGTTTTGCAAATTTTGAAATTGAATCCAAAAATATACCTTCAGCTTCTGGACCTATGAAAAATAAAAAATTTTCAAAATCTTACTTTCGAAATGCCATTCAGGTTTTTTTTAGTAAAAGTTTCAAATTTTTTGTTTTGAAACTTACCTGAAGACTTGATATTCGTAAAAAAAAGAAATAAAAAGAGTTTCCTTTTTTTTAATAAAATTTTGAAATTTCTCCTTTCGAAATTTACCTAGGAAGTTGGTTTTCATATCGAAGCCAAATTCCTAAATTTTTTTAATAAAAAAAAATTGTTTCATAACAAAAGATCATGAAATTTGCAAATCAAAAAGTAACATTTAGTATAATATTTCCTTTAAAAAAATCCGACAAAAATGTTCATTTTATTTCATCTAAGGACCAGTAGAAGTAAGAAAGAAAAGATTATCGATCTAATTTTCTGATTTAAATCAAATAAAAATCTGCAAATCATAAATTAATAGTTTCGGCAGGTGAAATATTTGATAAAATGTTTTCTAAAGAGAAAATAACATTTCAAAGGAAAAACTTTGAAATAACTGTATAAGTTGAAAACTTTGAATATACTTTATTTAAACTTTTCATCTGCTAATATAATTGTTATAATTATTGGAGAAATTCAGAAAAATCACATGAGTCAAAATTAAGCAATTAGTGAATATTATGGTAAATTTTAATTTCAGATCACGATTAAGAAAAATTCACTTAAAAATTGAAATCATGTTATCTTTAATAGATAGTTAGACACAATTTTGTTAATGTTTAGTAAATAATGTTTGATAATGGTGCATTTTTTTAGTAAATAATATAATTTTTTGCAAAATATTACATCTTTTCTAGTAAATATCAACAAATTGCAAAAAAATGTAATATTTTATTAAAACAACATTTTAATGAAAAATGTAACATTTGACCAAAAAAATATGAAATTTGTTAAAAAATGCAACATTTGATAAAAAAATGTGGAATTTTCATAAAAATACATCATTTGCTAGAAATTGGAATATTTGATAAAAAAAAAGTAAATTTTGATTTTAATTGATAATGTTATAGCAATTTTATGAAATAAAAAAAAGCAAAATTTAATTTTTAATTGACAATATTATAACAATGTTACGAAATGTTGTTACAATGATATTACATTAGTGGTAAATGCAAAATTTTCATAAAAAATGCACCATTTGGCAGAAAATCAGAATATTTGACAAAAAAAAAGTAAAATTCAATTTTAATTGACAATGTTATAACAATATTATGAAATGTTATTACAATGATATTACATTGGTGGCAAAATGCAAAATTTTCATAAAAATGCACCATTTGGGAATATTTGACAAAAAAAAGCAAAATTTGATTTTAAATTGACAATGTTATAACAATATTATAAAATGTTATTACAATGATATTACATTGGTGGCAAAATGCGAAATTTTCATAAAAATGCACCATTTGACAGAAAATCAGAATATTTGACAAAAAAAAAGCAAAATTAGATTTTAATAGACAATATTATAACAATGTTATGGGTTGATCACCCTTAGCTCATTGGTTAGTCCGTGAGTCCCCTCGTGAAGCTTAAGTATGGTGAGGTCACAGGTTCGATTTTACCGATCACGAAAATTAAAAGAATTTTACTGCAGACATTACTACCAATAGTATGAAGGTACAGAGATTAGTGTAGGCTGGACTGCATCATAGTGAATTAGTATGTACCGGTCGGTGGCATATTTCAACAAAAGGTCATAGTATCCTTCTAGCATTCCCTATGCGGCCATTGAAAAGCCTATTATTCTGTCTGGATGGTCACTACTTGCATACCATCTGGGTGAGCTCTTGTCTTAGTGGTCACTCTACGATACCACTAAGGGTGTAGTAAACTTTACTGTGGGGTTTACTACGCTAGATGGTTCTCATAGATGGTAAAGTCTCAAGTGTAGTAATGTCTTAGCAGTAGTTTACCTTTTAATAGGTTTAGGCTAATTGGAGATGTTCGTAGGCTTACAGGTATATAAGGTTCTAAAGTGAGATTCGATTCTTCAGTGAATTTGACGTACTGGTGGGTGATCCCTGGGTAACTGGGTTGGTTACTTATAATAAAGGAGTGATCCCAGTACCCTTAGCATCAGCAAGTTTTAAACATGCGTATAAAGTGTTGAAAAACGCCATGTGTTGCTCAACGCCAAAAAATGTAGGGAAACGAACTCTTTGTCAATCAACGCCACCTAAAAACGTTGAAAAACGCGTAAAACAATACCAATTTAAATGTAAAACAACATACAGTAAAACAACGATAGTTTAAAAACGTGTATACAATGTATAAAAACGCGTATATTGATATTAAAAATGCGTAAAGCAATGATTTTATTGTATATTATTAATATATATATTATATAAAATATGTAAATTTATTTATGATAAAATACGTATCAATACATTATACATTATCTAATGTAAATTCCTCTTGTTATAATTGGATTGCCTCGAATTTTTAAGCGATCAACGTACTAAATTTCTGTTGACATAGCGCCCTGGCATGGTGTTACAACCATAACAAGGTGGGAAACTGGGAATGTGATTTTGACTAATTGATCTTTCTACGCGATAATTATATTAATATACAGTATATTGTCTAATGTAAATCTATATAATTAAATAAAAAAAAAATATTCGAAAATAATTATTCCTAAAAAATGAAAGAAATGTTTAATTAGTAAAAAATAAAAAAAAATAGTAAAGTTTCGCAATGAAACTTACTATTTTTAAATTTCAACGCTCCTAATCGATGCCTTGAAACTTGAAAGCTCTGAACCTATAAAAAATAAAAGAAACATTAGAAAATGTTTCAAACTAAAAAAAATAAAGCTTCGTAATATGATTTAAACGAAACTTATGATCCAACCGATCTAATTATCCCAAGCGTCTGATCCGAAGCCTACAAAAATAAAAAAGAAACCATTAGTAATTATATTAAAAATTGTTGAAGTTTCGCAACATTTTGTTGCGAAACTACCCATCAACATCCTGAATTCAAAATATCCCGAAGTCTAATAAAAAAAAAAGATAATGGAGATGTCAGTAAACATCCCCTAATTAAAAAAAAATAAAAAAAATGGAAGTTTCGTAACGAAAAAATATTACAAAACCTATCATTTTCCGAATTTCTACATTCCCAGCAACCGAACCTGCAAAAAAGAAAGGAAACTTACCGTTATCCAAAATTCCAAGTCTCGGAGGTTGGCTGAATCTACAAAAAAAAGAAAAACGTTCAGTTAGAACGTTTCTTAAAGAATAAAATTAAAAAAAAAACAAAAAGAATAAAACCAAGTTTCATACTTATGAATCTTGGTTTTTTTTCCGTTCTTCAGAACTCAGAAATCCATCCGATCCTATAAAAAAAAAAGAACGAACGGTTATTAGTAACCGTTTATAATAATAAACAAAAAAAGAAAAAAAAATAAAGATTCGTACTCGTACTTACGAATCTTACAAATCTTCAGGGTTTTTCGTTCTTTGGAAGCCCATAAACCTATAAATAAGGTTGCTTGCCGAAACTAGAGGGTTTCGGCAGAATGGCATACGCGAAACTGCCGAAACTAGTTTCGCGAAATCATCAAGAAATGCTGAAACTGCAAAACCTATCAAAATCGCAAAACTGCTGTAACTTGCCGAAACTGTTTCTGCGTTTCGGCAATACTTTCTATATGATTTAATTAGAGTTTCGGCATTTAAACAATTTATAAGAATAAAGACAATATGATTTTTTGTATGTAAATATTTATTTTATAATATTTAATATTAAACTAATAAAATACACGATTAAAAATATAATAAAAATTAAAATTTAATAATATCTTTATCTTCTATGTGGGGACCTGCTTCTACCTCTTCTTCTATCTCTACTTCTGTCCCGTCTTCTATCTCTACTTCTATCTCGNAACCCTAACCCTAACCCTAACCCTAACCCTAACCCTAACCCTAACCCTAACCCTTGCACTTGCACTTGCACTTGCACTTGCACTTGCACTTTCTGAAAAAGATCTTAAAAATTTCGCTATTATTGATGATGAATGGACTAAACTTAAGAAAGTTAAATTATTTCTTAAAAAATTTAAAGAAATAACAGTATTAATATCCGGTTCATCTTATCCTACACTTTCAATGATCATTCTTTTATATAATCCTTTAATTAATCATATGGAATATTATATGTTTGAAGATGAAAATGTAAATGAAGATGAAGATGAAAACGAAGGTGATGATGAAAATGGAAGTGTAGATGAAAAATCAACTATTAAAAAAGCAGCTACAAATAGCCGGGAAAAATTACTCCAATACTATAACAAGACGAATGATGCATGTGTTATTGTAACAATTTTAGATCCAAGGCTTAAAATGGAGTACTATAACAACGAAACATGGAATGATGACCAGAAGAAGGAAATTCGCGAAAAGTCTAATATTTTTAATATTTTAAAATTTATTTTAGTTATAATTTATAATATTATATATATACTAACAATATTTAAATATTAATTTTTAGATTTTTAAATATTTATAACTCTACTTATTCTAATCCAAACTCAAGTTCAACTTTAAGCAATTCTTTGAATAATGAATATAAAAATTCAATTACATCAAAGGTATTTAAACGAAAACATACTCAAAAGATTGATGAATTTCAAGTACACCTTTTATCACCAGTTTGTGATGAAAGCGTTGATCCACTTCAATGGTGGAAAGTAAACCAAACCCAGTTTCCCAGACTTTCTAAGATGGCGATGGATTATTTGGCTATACCTTCTACCAGCGTTCCTTCAGAAGAATGTTTTTCAATTAGTAAAAATTTGATTACTGATAAGCGTAACAAATTGGCAGGAAAAACTATAAAATCCTGCATGTGCTTAAAATCATGGTTTTCGAGTTCATTAAGTGATTTATTTGAATAATTAATTTTAATTTTAATAATATTAGGATTGTTGTAGAAATTTTAACTAACTAATTTTTTTAATTTTTTATTTTAACAATTATTAGTATTTGCCGTTGCGATTTATTTGAAATTCAAATAATTAGTTTTTTTTTTAATTTTATAATTAATATAACATAACATTAATAACAATTTTAATATTGCAAATAAAAAATAAATATTTTTTAATAAGTATTGCTAACCATCTTTGTAAATTTGTAATATAAATAATAAATTAAATTATTAAATTTGAACGAATTCAAATCAAATTTTCAAACTGAATCGAATCGAATTTCAAATCAAATTCGAATCCAAATCAAATCAAATCAAATTACGAATCTGTTCAAATGATTCGAGATTTGATTTGATTCGATTTGGATTCGAATCGGATCAAATCTAAATCAAATCAAATCAAATTCGAATCAAATCTCGAATCGGATTTGAACTGATTTGTCTCAGATCCAAATTCAAATTTTCAGATTCGATTCGATCGAATCAAATTCCGAATCTAACCTAATTCGGTCTAATTCGATCCGTGCGGAACACTAGTTTTAATAATAATAACAATAGTTTAAATAATATTATGGATGCGGTTCAATCTGTAATGATAAATGATCCTAACTATTTTAATAAAACTATCGCTTCTAAACATAAATTTAAACAAGCTGTTCAATATAATAAACTTGTGAAAAATGTTTTCAATTTTCTCAACAATAATGAGTTAATGTGCATTCTCGCTGATAAAAACTTAGGTTTAACGATCATTGATAAATCTTGGTACATTGATAACATGCTAAAACATTTTAATTGGTTGGACGTGTTTGAGTTGGTAGCTTCGGATCATTTTGACGTGAGGGAGTTACACGCCCAGGCATGGCTCCAAGCCAATTTACGTAAATACTGCTCGCTTACTACTTCGATTAAACTTTCGCAAGCAGTTACGGACTAACATGCAGAACAATTGCCCCAAGCATATGGCTTAATCAAACTCCACAAAACACTATATAAACTCTGAATTATTACTCCAGTGGTGGAGTGGGTTAATGTCAAAGCTGCTGTTGAAGTCGTCCGACATTTAGGCGACTATGTTAAATTGTTTGATCATGTATTAACTAACAGTACCAAACTTATTTGGGAGTTAGATGGTCTTATGTCTTATGACTTTATCTTAGCTTCCTTCGATGTGTCCGATATGTATAATTCTATCGGTCAGGAAGACTGCATCCATAGAATCGAAGTTCTTGCTAAGGAGTACGGCTGGTGGACTGACAAAAATGAACCATACTGGCGTTCCACTATGGTGCTTATAGAATTTGTCTTTCATACCTCTTACGTAGGTTTCGGAGGCCGCGTTTATAAACAAAAACGTGGGCCACCTATGGGCTCGCCGCTCTCGCCCGTTCTTGCGAATCTTTACATGGTTCAATTAGAGGATACTGTAATTCCTGCCATGAAAGCCAAGAACATTCACTACTATAGATACTTGGATGATGTTTTATTCTTTCATTCAAGTTTTCATGCTCCTATTATTAGTGACGCAGCTAAATTCCGGATGGAAGAGCGTATGGCCTACTTTGTAGGATGCTCACCCAGTTTTCTGATGACTCAGTTACCTTTGAACGGACCAGAACTGCACATAATCCTGGACAATACGTTGAATATTTAGACCTCAAACTTGAAATCGCCTTAGATAACAGAATGGAGCGTAATAAGGTGCTTCGCTTAAGTGTTTACGATAAGCCTACTAACCTCCATATCTATACCGATCCTTCAACCTTTTATCCATTTCATTATGTCTACAATTGGATACAAGGGGAGAATATTCGACTAATTCGTAATTCCTCATCGCCTGCTGCGTATGAACGAAGTCTATATGACTTCAAAAAGTTCCTACTTAGGCGTAAATATTCACAGGACTTAATCGAAAGATTTTGTTCATTAAATTATTATGGGAATAGAAACGAACTCCTGGTTGGTGCGAAACCACATAAAACTAGAAAAAATGCTAGAGATGAGTTGGGTAATAATAGTTATATAGCTGTTCGCAATTCAGGGTCGCGCCCGCTATTAACTTCTGCAATCCACATTGTGGATTCATTTGTTAACACCTTAGAGATTTCTGAATGAAGGTTGGTCCCTGTTGTTTCTCAAGGTAAAACTATTATAAGTGTTATGAATCAAGCTAAAAAAAGTCTTGCCAGTTATCAACTGAAGTAGACTTCTGTTCTTTCTGTTAGTTATAGGTGGTCGCTTTAACGGAACTCAGCGTAGTGTCCTAGACCGAGTAACTAACAATTTTAAGTTCAGTTTATAGTTCAATAATAGCTTTTCCAGATAACTAAAGTAGGTCCAGAGCTTATGTCACCCTGATGATAGACATAAGCTCTGGAGGGGGTCCTAACCCGTACCTAAGGTTGCTTGCCGAAACTAGAGGGTTTCGGCAGAATGGCGTAAACGAAACTGCCGAAACTAGTTTCGTGAAATCATCAAGAAATGCCGAAACTGCGAAACCTATCAAAATCGCGAAACTGCCGTAACTTGCCGAAACTGTTTCGGCGTTTCGGCAATACTTTCTATATGATTTAATTAGAGTTTCGGCATTTAAACAATTTATAAGAATAAAGACTAAAGACA